TTTGTGCCCTTGAAGCTGTTTTAAAGGATCGCGCTTATCTGTTCAATAATGAGCGGATTACTGTATGCAACATGAGAGCCTTCACTGCTCAGCAGCTACTTTTGTGTGTCAACAGAAGCTTTAGGACGATCTCATTATTATACTGACTGACGAATCGGACAGAATGTCACTGCAAAAAAAAAATACACTGTTCTTACTTTGTACTTTTGTCTTGTTTTCCAGTACAAACGTATAAGCATTCTTAAATCAAGAGAAGTAAAATGACTTAAGATATTTTAAGAGTTTTTTGCTTTGAATCGAGTTTTTCATTTTTTTTGACTCCATTGGCAGACATTCATTCTTTTTGAATCTCACTTCATTCTAATGCATTTCTCAGAAACAAGACTTCTTAAATCATTTTGCCTCTCGTATTATTTGTAATGGAAAACGTGACAAAAATATAAATATTTTTTGCAGGGTTGACCTGATTCTCATTCTTTTTCTTTTTCACCTGAAGCCTCAAGAAAAAAGCCTCAAGTCTAAGACAGTGTTTTCATATGATTTTATGATAATGAGTGATTTTTATTCAACTCTGTTTCTCCAGGACTGCATAATTAATTCTGATTAATTATGCTTTGAAAAGGTCATGCAAACAGAAAAAAGAAAACACTTTGACCGTCCCAAATAATTTCTATCTTAAATATTTCAGAAGCTGTAAATAAGATAACTGGGGTATGTTTTTTATGAAAATACTATTTTGTTATTTTTACTTCAAAACCTCATATATAATGTTACTTGCCGTTTCTTTTTTTATTTACTAGTAATTAGTAAAATTACTAAACTAGTAAATTACTAGTAAGTGAAAATAGTTTCAAAGTACATCCTACACTGTAACATTTTTTAAAAATATTATTTATCATTTTACTTAAAAATCTCACGTTGCTTGCTGTTTATATTTATGAAATTTACAAAAAAAAAATCTGAATCAAAAATGTTTAAAGGTAAATCCTGCACAGTACAAAATGATTTTTCAAAATTGTAAATAAAATAAAGATTGTCTAGTATAAATACTATTAATATTTTTCTCCTTCCGAATTTAACATTTAATTCAATGTGTTGTCATTTGTTTGTAGCTATTTGTGAAATTCACTAGCAATTTTTGAGGGAAAATTATTTCAACTTAAATCTGACAAACAAAATGATTTTTTTGAAGTTGTAAATTGATTATTAGAGTACATTTTACAAAAAAATTATAATATTACAGTCTTTCTACTTCAAAATGTCATGTTTAATCCAATGCATTCCTTGCAGTTTCTGTGTAATTATTTGTAAAATTTAGCAATTTCTGAGTTAAATTTTTTTTTAATGAATCCTACAAAAACAAGCTGTCAATAAAGATTAGAGTACGTTTTACAGGAAAATACTACTTCAGTCTTTCTACTTGACAGTTTCAGCTGTTACCTGCTGTAGCTGATTATTATTTCTAAAATCTACTAGCAATTTCTGTGTGAAAACGCTTTCAAAGTTTGATTCATCTCATGTGGAAGCATGCAAAATTAATTTGTTTTGAAAATTAGCTTTCGTTTTCACCAAAGCGACCCTCAATTAGTTCTTAGACCCAAAAGCGCAGTTAAAAAAGTTCAAAAGACGCTTTTCTCTAAAACTCCTGTCAAACCGCAAGATCGCCATCTCTCTCTCTTTCGGTCTCTTTTCTCTTCCGAACGTCAGCATCAACAAATGAGAACGGGAAGCAGAAGACACACGAGAAGAAAAACAGAGCAAAAGAAATATGTTATTCCAAGGTGTTTCCATGAAAAACAAGACATCCAGGGGTCCTGCTGTTCCTCAGGCTAAAAACATAAACTCGTTCATTATTTTAAGATCAGATTTGTTGCTTTTGACCACTGAGGGACTGAAATATATGCTGCGGTCGGTAACTCGCTCCATCCAAGTCAAGGGCCTTATTTTGTGCAACTGGACAAAACACACCTGTTGATCCTGGCATTTGTTAACAGAAGGTCATCTTTCCATGGGTTTCCAGTCATGTTTGGATGGATGCAATGGTTTGTTTGGTTCAGTTTTGAGCTTCCTGTATTTTCAGAGCACTTCGGCGCCCCCTAGAGGAGGGGAGATGTTTGCACCCTACTGAGGGTGGACATGTATCTCATTGCTTTTCATGTAAATCCCTAACTTTTAGTCCTTGTTGTAAATGGATGACACACTGATAGATCAGTTCAACATGTTGATGCACGCATAAGCCGAGGTTGAAGAGTCCGGTCAAGCGTGTTGTCTCTCTAAAGAGCACTACTACATTTTAATATCATATTTCTTTACGGTATGACAGCCAGGATTTTTGGCCGGCTTCTCAGCCAAACTATTTCCCTTCCTGTAGAGGAAAGGAAACACGTTGGAGGTCATAAATCTGAGCTGACGTTTCACAAAAAATACCTGGGATTTTTACCCATGCAGCTATCGGGAAACGCTCCCACAACATTTTACTGTTCTTAGAATATTAAAAATGAACATTCAAATAATGTTTTTTTTTTTTTTTTGGTAAAAAATAAAGTTAGTGGAATCTTGTAAGAAAGGTTTTTGTTTTGTACCTTTAAATAATGTTCTAATAATGGAAAAGAAAATTCTAACATTCTTAAAATATAAAAAATAAATAGTGCTGTCAAACGATTAATCGCGATTAATCGCATTCAAAATAAACGTTTTGTGTACATAATATATGTGTACTGTGTATATTTATTATGTATATATAAATACACACACATGCATGTATATATTTTAAGAAAAATATGTTATGTTTATATATTAAATATATTTATATATGATATAATTTATGTGAATATAAATATATACATGCAAATGCATGTAAATATTTTCTAAATATATGCTGTATGTGTGTGATTTTATATATACATAATAACTATACACAGTACACATATATATTATTTAAACAAAAACTTTTATTTTGGATGCGATTAATCGCAATTAATCGTTTGACATTACTAAAAATAAATGTTCAAATTACTTTATATTTTGTGTAAAAATAAAGTTAGTAGAATGTTGTAAGAAATATTTTTGTAAACTTTAAATACCGTTCTAATCTTGACAAGAAAACTGGACATTTTAACGATCTTAGAATATTTAAAACAAATGACATTATAGTTTCATTTAAAACATTTGTAGAACGTTTAAGAAACATTTTTTGTAACATTTAAATAACGTTCTAATCACAAGAAGAAAAATGGATATTTGAACGTTCTTCAAATATTCAAAATAAACATTCAAATAACATTATTTTGGGTACAAATAACAGTAGCACATTTAAGAAATGCTTTTGTAACTTTTACAAGCAGAAAACAACATTTTAACGTTCTCAGAATATAAAAAATAAATATTCCAATAATGTTATATTTTGAGTAAAAATACAATTAGTAGAATGTTTAAGAAACATTTTTGTAACATTTAAATAACGTTCTAATCACAAGAAGACAACTGGATATTTCAACGTTCTGAGAATATTGAAATAAACATTCAAATATCGTTATGTTTTGAGTGAAAATAGAGTTAGTAGAACATTGTAAGAAACACTTTTGTAACCTTTGAAGACATTCAACATTTTAGAAACATTTCAAACAAAGTTCCCACATGCTTTTCTAACCTAAATGTGTTAGCCGGGTAAAGTACTTTCTTTTCTTTTGCTTTCAAACCAGAGAGGTAAAAACAACAAAACACAAACCCATGGCAGGAATGGACTAACACTGTCACAAAGGTGAATTATGTTTCATAATGCAATCGCTCTTGGACTCAAACGTCTGAAATACTGATCCTGCCCGCTTAGAAAACATGCTTCTGGAAAGACATCAGATAAAGCGGCGGTGTGTCGGTAAGGTATGTCTGATAGAAACGATAGCAACAAATATAATTTTATGTACTGCTGATGGATGGAGGCTACATCAGCGGCATAAAGGAGCATGTAGAACAGTTAATAAGCCACTAAACGCTAAGAGCTTTGGCCTCATGAACAAATTAAAGTGTGTCTAATTGAATAATGAGGGGCTGTGATGGAGCAAAGCAGCAGAAAGCTAAATTAAAAACAGCACATTTGACTGTAAATATATTTATATCTCACTCTTTAGGGTCACCAAGGCTGCGTTTATTTGATCAAAAATATGGGGTGAAAAAATATTATTAGAATTTAAAATATCTGCTTTCTATGTGAATATCTGTTAAACTGTAATTTATTTCTGTG